CTTTCAGACAAGGAAGCTTTCTAGCTGACAATATTAAAATTAAATTCTAGAGCTGTGCTAAGTGCCAGTCAACTAATTCTTCACATTATTTTTCTTCCTTAGGAGCCTCTTCCCACCAACTCACTCCCTTGTCACTCATACCTAAGAGGCATGACTACCGTGATTACAAATCCTCATGCTGCTGTGGAAAGTACTGTAACACCTTAAAGGAAGACCTGTATGAGCAAGCAGGGTCTGTGCAACAAAGACAAAACGACCTCAAATTACAGATAAGAAAAGGATACTCTAGGAGCACTTACATGGCATATCAAAAACAACCCACTTCAAGTACTTCTAATGTGGATGCAGCTGCAGCAGTACAGCCAAGGTTTACAGCAAAGGCAGTCTCAAGTCTTTCCCCAAGCAAGAAGAGTCACCAGCAGAGACACAGGCTTGGGTGTCTTTTTTTCCCCCTTCTCCTAGAATAGCTGCATTAAGGGCTCTCGCCAGGTCAGCTGTGCTATGGAGGGATCACACCTCTTCCCAACCTTGACAGCCACAGCTGTGACGACAATACACTACTCTATACTAATTCAGGACTAACCTCAGAAACCAAATATACACTTCACCATCTATAACGGTCTGCTCCCGCCTGGCATCTTCACAAATTTGGCCAAATGAAACACAGTCAATTCCTAATTTTCTTTCCAGATTGTTTTATTTACTCACAAAGTGCTTTCATGTTTAGACTGTAATTTTTACTAAAAATACTTGGTTTGAAATAAGTGGAAACCATGCAGGGTAGAAAAACTGGTTTATGCAGTTGAAAAGGTTTGCTTTAGGGGCCCACATCCTGGATTATTATTTTTTTTAATAAACTGAAAAAGAAAATCCTTCATGTGTAATAGAAACATATCAAAAAGCTATAAAACCATCAATAAGTTAAATGCAAATGGAATTTTGAAGCCAACTTTTTGGAGAAAAATCTTTCAGAATTAAGTGATGCTAATTATTATGCTAGGACAAGACCATTCAACTTCAAAATAGGCTACCGGACAACTTTACTGCTTCATTATTAAGAACATTATTTGTGCATATCACTGATGTGTTATCTTCCTTTTATTTAGAATTTTCTTTTAACCATACAGGAGATGGGGGGGGGAAGGTGAGGGAGGGCACCAAACAGGATGACATGAAGATTTTTAGAAGAGTGTAGACACAAGGTTTTTGAAATTCTCCCTTTGAAATGAGTTGCCATGATAAAATTGTCTGCATGTTTATCCAGGGCCAGTCTGAAAGAAAAATATGTAAAATTCAGAAGCAAATGGTTCCATTTAACTACCATGGAACTGAAATTTACATGTCTCCCTCAGAAATCAAATCCTGCATTCCCTGTTTATAGTAATACTTAGTGTTAGAAGTAAGGCTGCTAAAATTGATATGTAATAAAATGTACTTTGTCCAATAACTGCACTTTTCCATAGTACAATAGTAAACATTTACAGAGTTTCCATTACTCATACTGCAAAGAACATAAGTTCACATTTATATGGTCACTAAACATGCACTTACATAAACGTAGCGTTAAGTTCTCCTCAATGCTACATATTCAGACTTATTATATGGAACCAAATCCATTCTCTGCCCAATATAACTCACTCCAGTTGAATTGGCTTTCACAGTCGCACCTTTCTACTTTACAAGGAATGTCTTGCCAGCAAGAGCCAGCCTTAATGACACAGCTACCTACCCAAATTACACAAGAACTTTCCTACAGCAGGACCCAGCCTACCCAAGTGCTCCACGCCAGACAAGCCAAAGGCCTCTGTCAGAACTGACATGTTTCATATCACCAGCTTCCACTACTATTTTTGTACAGCCTTCCAAAGGAAGCTCACATAAGGTTGGAAAAACAACAAAAAACCAACCCAAAGAAAATGTATTTTCAGCAGCAGGTATAGCATTGTTTGGAATGTGTTTAAGAGCTCCAGAAGCAGCAGTCAACACTTCAGTTGTATTTATGCATATTTTCTTTCTTCACATTGACCCTTGCCAGCATTACTTAACGCCCCCCCCAACTTTTGAAGCCATACAAAAAGTTACTTTTTTTCTTTCACAACTACTCACTGAGGCCTATTCCAGTGCTGAAAGCAAGCGAAGCAAAGCCCACGCTGGGTGTCTGTCTCCTAGAGAAGATTTCATCTTTTATTTATCACCCCTTGGCTTTATTTTCACAGTGAATTCCTGGCTTAAATGTAATCAGCCAAGAAACCCTCCCTATGTGCACTCCTGTCATTCCTCATCGCTTGCAAACAGAAACAAGTGCAAGCAAAAGAGAAAGAAAAAAAAAAATAATCTCAGCATTGCCAAACAAACTAAAAAAGCCCTACTTCTGGTTTTGCCACTCCCCAGGAGCCACAGATGTGCCTCAGACCTTTGGAAAGAGAAAGCCAAAAGATGAAACTTATAAGAAAGTTAATTAGATCAGAAAAAAAAAAAAAGAATTAACTCCCTCTAGGCAGAGGAGAAGGGCACTGAGCCTAGGAGCAGGGACACGGCTTCCCTTCGGGGAAAAAAAAAAATTGATGGCACGTTTAAAAGCTGCCCGCCAAGTCACACACGCAGCGGGTAAGACCCAGCTTTTAGATGGACTCGGTGGGGGGGGGAGGGGGAGAACCCCGCCGTCCAGCCCCCCCATACCCCGGATCCGCCGCCGCTAACAAAAGGCGAGCAAGCAGCCTCTTTTGTCTGGCTTCCCCTTTTCGGGGGAGGAGGAGGAGGAGGGGAAGCGACAGAAAACTAGGTGGGGGGGGAAGAAAGGACACAAATAAACATGAAAATGAGAACAAAGTGGCCGGGCCGCACAAAGAGCATCACCCAACGGCGCAGGGGGTGGCCGTCTGCTGGGGGCGACTAACCCAAGGAAGGGGGTAATCGCCCCCGGCAGACGGCCACCCCCTACCCCCCCCCAAAAAAGTGGGGGGCACCCACCTCCGAAGCCCTTTAAACACGGGCAGGGAGGAGTTAACCAGGGGCGCCCGCAGCGGG